TATAATAATTCTAATTTATAATTTTTCGTGGTCAAAACAACCTTTAGGATGTGTTTAAAAAGAAATGAATTGAAAACTCAGATTTATATTCGTCAGCCTGTTTAAATTCTTAATAAAATGGAAATCAAACATCTTTTCTTATTCATTAAATTTTGTATGCAGAACTAATTAAAATAACCAATACAACAATTGAATGCTCTAGTTAGTTTTATAAAAAATCTAGAGGGCAAAAATTAAAAAAAAATATTACCCTCTCTTTATTTAGAACTGCAGATCAAATCAATTTAACAAGTCTTTCCAAAATTGTAGATTGTATAATCTGGATCAGTCCGGACCTGGAGACTTTGCTCATCCTTCAATATCAGAGCGCGGCATATAAAAGCTGTCATTAAGTAGAAAAAATATTAAATTATAAAATGCCGACATGAAAGAACTGGGCTGGGGCGAGTGTGTGCGAGGAATAAAATATATATAGCGCCGGGGAGGATTCGGAAGAGAGCTTAAGGAATTAAGTATACGGTGTGTGCTGCTTTTGATGTTGAATTTTGTTACACGTTAAGTGGAATTACGAACGGGCTCTCTCTCGAGTACGGGGGTCTTTTTCTAACATAAACTGTCGCTGAAGGCATCAATTTACTGGCGACACCTGTCTGTTATAATTCCACGGCACGTCAGACATCATTAAAGCGCGCGAGTGAAAATTGCCCACTTAATATTATACACTCACGAATTTTATTTACAAAAATACACACACTCGGTTTCTAAACTCGACACCTCCGAAGAGTTAATTCGTCTCTCTGTGAGAGAGCTGGAAGAAATTAGTCATGCCTCGGCCAGAAATTTCTCAATTAATAAAGAAAACGCGGCGACGAAAGTTGCTTTGATGTGCGACCTCGGACGCATTTGGGAATAAATGGCCCGTGGATTTGTTTGATTTTTTCAGCCGGCCGGCAATTTATTTCTCAGCGGCCGCCTTGTTGTTTGACTAATGCGAGCCAAGCGATTTAGCACGTCGGCATCTGGAAAGCTCCGACCGGCACCATTAATTTTGGAAATGATGAGTTGGCTTGGCTACTTTTTACTCTGTGTGTAACAAAAAACTTAAAGTCACTTTAAAATTAGATTATAGACTTTGTTTGAAATGGAACCAAAGAAAAATTTAAAATAAAAAAATAATAACATTAAGAATGTGGAATTTTGAATTTTATTTATTAAGGTCTTTTTTTTGGTGTGCCATCAATTTATAAATATTTATAAATAATACTTATCTTTTTTGACACTTTTGGATATAGAATCAAGCATTAAATGTGAAATTTTTAGTTAATTTTTAAATTTGTATAGATTTTAGTGACATATTGAGGCTTCAATTTACTTTCACAGATAATTTTTATTTCTCATGAAGATAAATTATATTGTTTTTTTTTGTTTGTTTTATAAAACTCATCGAAATGAATTGATATGTTGTCTTTAGAAACAATCCTTGCTCCTGAACTGACTTGATCCTAAATTAAGTCATCTGCTCAAATTTGAGATAGTTAGAGAGCATTCAGGGGATAACAATTTTGCATTTCAACTGAACATAATTTTTCCTATTTTTCTATATTCTGCGTTAATATTAACATTTAAAATTTTTTTAATTTTTTCGAAGCATTTGTTTTTCCCTCAGATATCAAATTACAAATAAAAATTACCATGAAAATTTTAAAGCATTTATTAAATTTTTAGAAAGTTAGAAAAGTTATTATATTTTTTTTACCCTACGAATTTCTGTAGACTGCTGCTTAAGATGAAAAAAAAATGTGGCATCTCATTTCTCAGATTTTTAACAGAAGCGTCCCCGGCGGGAAAAGCAAAGGTCGACCAATTAATTACGTGACAGGACAGAGTGAACTGAATCCTAATCACCCATCAAGAGTCGGTTTGCCCGTGTGTGAAGGAGCAAGCAGAGATGAAAATCACTTTCCTTGAGGCTGACAAATGAGTTTTCTGTTCTCGTTTCCAGAGCGCACACATCAAGAAGCCGCTCGTCTTCAAAAGCCGAGGCGAGATTCTCAGGATTTCCAAGTGACACGCACATCACGGCGTATCGCCTTTCCCGCTGATGTGTTTCAACGCTGCTGCTTAGATAGCAAGACGCGTGATGGGTTCTGTTTTATGTTGTCGGTGACAACAGCAGGACTTGTGACAGCCACTCGCCTTTTGCTTCTGATATTTCAGCTCCTTGTTTTCTCCGAGAAATTTATTACACCAGCAGCACGTTGAAAATCAGACATACTTTAAGTCAAAATGTTCAAACAAAATGGGCGAGGAGCAAAAATATGGGAAAATTTTTTTTTCAAAAGGTACAGATTTACAAAAGAAAGCCAAACGTTTAAGTTTGAGGAACAAATTAATTAATAATATTCCCAATTTTAAATTATAACCCCAGGATTAATATTTTTAAAACACAAATTTAAAGTAATTCTCTTTAAAATAATTTTCTAATTTAATTGATTAAAAAATTTTCTTGGCGTTTTATTAATAAATTATCATCAAAAAGAAAATTAAAATAATTTAATTATTTAAAAATTAAACCACACAAGCAGAATGCTTTATAAAAAAATAAAATTTTTACAATGGCCTAAAATAATAAGATCTCTCTTTTTTCACAAATAAATTAGGAAAATGAATTTTTACGTGGATTCCGAGCTTCATCGAAATATATTTTTTAACCTCATTTTGGACTTGAAAGCAGAATATGCTAATAAAAAGTTCCAAACTCGCGAAGCGACTAGGAAAACCAGCAGCTCTCTGAGCAAGAAATTTATTGAAGAGCCGTTTATATCTGATGATCATTACAGGGGGGCGATGAATTTCGTGGAGCATTAATTGGCTCGGGTGCCACTTTCTAAATAAGGCGACAGCGAAACAATCCATTAAAATTAACAGCTTGTTGGACGACGAAAGGCTGAATTGATGCGGTGGCCATCAAGTCTCTCTTTCTTCCTCGCTAGTCCGATCGAAGATAAGTCTCGTTATATTTATCTGCTCACTCTCGTAGCTCCTAATTTATGATTTGCCACCATACCGCAGGTTGTTTGCTCTGAGCGAGAATTTATACTTCCATAGCTCTCAGCAGTGGAGGCTGCGATTTACTTTATGGCTCAATCTCTCTCGTGCGGGCTCCGCATCTTCTCCGGCCTGCGTGCGATCATCAACCAAACAACCAAAACACGTCGTTCCACTCCAAATTAGGAATTAATTCCCTCGTTAAAATTTCCAGATGCGGAATGTCGTTAAGGATATTTACGTTAATGCCCGGGTGCGTCGGCAGCTGTCAAGTTCAAGTAGCGGCGAAATTTACGACGGAAATATTTTTTGCGAAAATGTAAAGACTTGACCGAATGATCGATCTTTAAATCCGGGTCGGCTTGACTTGTATTTTTTTTTTATCAAAAGTTGTATTCGAAATCTTGGATACTTTCCTGATTTTTTTTAATATAATTATACATTTAGCTTCAAAAGCTTTCTAGATTAATCAAGTTCTTCAATATTGATTAATTCTGTATTCCACGTGTCTTTTGAACATGTGTTGGGCCATGTGGGGATGAGTGTTGCGCCCAGAAATTTAACACCCCACTTTGACATTAGTCGAAATTTAAGCAATATTTGCGCCCCCCTGATCTTAACATGGCTTTGGGGGTGGAGTTGAAAATTAGACCGTCCGCGGGGGAAAAAAGAGGACACTCTGGTTTCTAGTGTATAAATGCACAGTCGACTTTGTATTGCTGCTCTCATCACTGAGGTGTATTGGCTTATTATTCTGAGCCCAAATTCAACGTAATTGGGCCCGCGGTGGGACTCGGATAGGCGATTATTTCACCTGGCTTGAGTTAAAAATCACCTGCAGACTTCCACGATTTGGTAATATTGAATTTCAGGCTTCAGTTAAATATTATCTCTCTAGTAAAATTCGCAATTAAATTGTGTAAGGGAACAAAAATTGTTCCCTTGTTTATCACATCAGAACAATAAACAGGCAAATCAGATTAAATTTAAATACAAGCATGAGCCTTTGTTTGAATATTATTAAGTTCAAACTCTACATAAATTTAATTTTGTTGGTTAATATTGAAAATGCTATGTTAAAAAATGGAAACTTTGTTTTTTGCTCAAAGTCTTCAAAAAGATCCCGTTCATGCTAAAATAGTAAAGTAACTAATACAATTAAATAGTATAATTATTTAATAAACTTAAATGTTCTTTAAGACAAAGTTGATATTACAATCAATAATTATTATTTAAGTTTAAAAAGAAATATCAGTAAATAAAACCCAATGCAATAAAATTATAAATTTAATGACTATCATACATACTATCAATGTTACAGAATAACTTGTCAGTATAAAAACATGCAAATAAATCCCTTGCTTTCCTTCACCTTCACCCTATCATTTCTAGAAGGCAAAAAAATTGTAATTTAAAATTTGTGGAGCACAATGAAATTTTTATTTTAGAGCAAAACTTAATTACAATTATTATCAGGCGGTTGACCTTGGTGTTACAGATAATTTTAAATCAATAGGGAAAGCATCAATATCCGGTTGTTCCAAAGAGATAATTATCAAGAAAGTCAATGTTAAATTGAGTTGAAATGAAATCTATCAAAAGTGTTCCAGTTTTCAGCAACAAGATTTTAAATTTTTCTAATGAATTATGTAAACATACAAATTTTTAAATTTCTCAGTCTTACTTTTGTTTTCAGAATGAAGTAAATCATTTTCATGAAAAAGAATTTTTTTATTATTTAGGTTACTAGACAATAAGAGTCAGAATATTTAATCAGGGAGCACAGGAAGTTTATAAATGTATTATGTACAATACATGCATATGAAATAAAATACTAAATAAACACTTATATATTTTGCCTTGGTAGTAATCACAAATTTCATGTAGTTTGATAGCGATTGGTTTTCGGAACTAAACTAGGGGCGTATATGCGTGCGAACGGATTTGCAATTTTTTTGCATCCTCACTCGATACGCTCTCGTCTTCCTGGACGGAAGGCGAATTTTGAGCTGCTTGGTTTCTTACATTGAATCGTGTTGGTGATTTTCAGCTATGCTTGGGACAAGCTTAATTTTCCTGTCCATCTGCCTGCCAGCAATATTTGCTCAAGGTTTGGTCCAATAATTTTTTTTCTTTACTTTTTCTCCAACGTCATAAATAATAAATTTTAACTCAAAACACAAAATTTGTCTCCTTGGTGCTTAAAAAGGAAACATCCCTTACGGCCCACCCTCAAACACGCAACTAGGCCAGGCACCGCAAGTAATTCCAAGTGCACCATGTCAACCCGGATTTTATGGCCCGAACTGTGCCCAAAGGATGCCGGGAAATAGATATTGCGGAGGTCAATTCAGAGAGTACAATCAAATGACCGGGCTCTGCATATATGGATGCCAATGGGCTGGCCAACAACCGCCTTATTGCGATCGAGGTACACTAAAATTTTTTGAATTATTTTTTTTATGTTAAAATTTCCCAATTAGAATGTTACGATGGAAAATTTGGCTTCAATTGTAACTTTGATCAGCCACGAGGAAAATGTTCTGGCTTGGGACAGTTCGGGACTTACAACAAAGTGGATGGGAAATGCACCGTAGGTTGTGCCAGACCAGGTTACCTGCCTCCAGATTGCGTAACAGTAAGAGGTATGGAATTGGATGCATTTGCTGGGGAAAAATAGTGGCTTGAATGTCGTTTCTCCACAGTTTGCGAGTATGGAAAATACGGAATAAATTGCAACGAACAATTTTATGAACGTGTCTGCAATGGCAATGGGCATTTCGGCGAATATGACTTTACTAATGGAGCGTGCACGAAAGGTTGCGTCCATCCCGGAAAACAGGCGCCATTCTGCAAATACGGTATTTAACATTTCAGGCTCACATCTAATTCATTTTTTTTAAATAATAAATATAATAAAATTGAGTTCAAATTAATATTGAGTAAAAGATTTAGTCTCACAGTTCAATCCTCATAATTTGCAAATTATAATTATTTTTTGCAATGATTTATTATTTTAGACTGCGGTAATGGAAAATTCGGCTGGAATTGCCAACATGATATACCGAAAGGAAGATGCGCAGGGCCTTTTCCTTATGGGAACTATGACAAAGTATCTGGCCACTGCTACAGTTGCAAATCTCACGGCAAAAAACTTCCAAATTGCACTTACGGTTTGAATATTTATCATGCTTGAAATAAAAGACGTTTACAATTCGAGTTTTTCTTTAAAAAATTCTTAAATATTTTGATTCTTTCAGACTGCGACGAAGGAGAATTTGGCCAAAACTGTCAGTTAAGATTGCCGATTGGTGAGAAAAGATGCTCGGGTTATGGCATGTACGGTGATTACGATAAAAAAACAGGAAATTGCAAACACTGCGCTCAGCCCGGCTTTAAACTACCTTCATGCAACCAAAGTATTTATGTTATTACATTATAAAATTTTTGAACTTAATTCAAAACAAAAACTAGTGTGCGATGATGGAACTTTTGGATTGAACTGCAAGCTGAAGTTGAAATTAAAAAAGTGTTCCGGCCATATGAGGTTTGGAGAATACGACCCAGCCACAGGGAACTGCAGGGGCAATTGCCTGGAGCCTGGCTTAAAATACCCTGAATGCGATCAAGGTTGGAAATGCATGCGTTACTTAAAAAAAAAATTAATTGTGATTTAATCAAAAGCTTGTGAAAATGGATGGTATGGAGCGCATTGCCAATCGAAACTAGGGCCTGGAACGTGCGGCGGTCAGGAAATAGGAAATTATGACAAGAAAACTGGGCACTGCAGGACCTGCGGAAGGTTTGGCTTTAAGCCACCTCTTTGCACCGAACGTAATGTTTTCACTAAGAATTAAAATAAACAAATTAATACGACATCATAAAAAATTCAGCGTGCGAAGCTGGATTTTTCGGACTGCATTGCCTAAATAATGTAAAGCACAAATGCTCTGGGAACGACACCAGCGCCACAGGCCACTGCACCACTTCCTGCCAATATCCAGGATTTGAATTTCCTTGGTGTGAAAATGGTTTGTCGGAAAGTTTTGATTCGAAAAGGAATATTAATTTTAATCATTCACAGAATGCGAGGACGGGAAATTCGGACTAAACTGTACAGAGAAACTCGGTGAGAAAAAGTGCTCCGGTGCTGGAAAGTATGGTGACTACAACAAGGCAACCGGAGAATGTCTGCAATCGTGCGAGAAGTTCAACCTGCAGTTTCCACTCTGCGAAAAGGGTACAAATTTTATAGTGCTACTTTATGAGGCTTTGTAAAATTGAATTGAAATTTCCTTCCTCTTCATGTTTGCTTAATAATGTTTTTTTTTTTGCAATTTCGATCAACAGAAAAATGTTCAAACAACGATTTCAATCGCACGAACGGGAGATGCTCCGTTTCTTGCGCTGCACCTGGGTTTATATTTCCTGACTGCGGAAAAGGTACTCGTCTCTTATTTTACGCAAAAACCATGAAAATTCAAAACATACTTCGATAATGAAAGAATTTAATGAAATAATTCTAAACCATTATAGAATGCGATCATGGGGCTTTTGGATTGAACTGCTTGCAAAATATAACAACGAAAAAGTGCGCTGGAAGTGCTCCATTCGGAGATTATGACCCAGCAACAGGAAATTGCCAGGGAGATTGTTTCCTGCCTGGCTTCAAAAAACCTGAATGCGACAAAGGTCACAAAAATAGATAATCAGTAAATTATAATATTTAAATCCTTTATCTTTACATCATAGAGTGTGATAATGGGACGTATGGACTGCACTGTGCCTCTCAACTTGGGCCTAGGATATGTGGAGGTCAAGGTCTAGGAAATTACGATAAGAAAACAGGACAGTGCAGGAGTTGCGCGCGGTCTGGTTATAAACTGCCCACTTGCACTGAGCGTAATTTCCTCGATTAAATTAATAGGGATTAAACTACTCAATTTTTTTCTAGCGTGTGATGTTGGATTTTTTGGGCTCGATTGCAAAAGAAATTTCACGTCAAACAAAAAATGCTCTGACGATGACTACGACCGCGTCACTGGTTATTGCAACACTTCCTGCCAGATTCCAGGATTTGAATTCCCCGCGTGCGATTTAGGCATGCAATTGCTTTAATTCATGAAATTACAAAATAATAATCTATTGCAATAAAAGAATGCGAAGAGGGAGAATATGGGTTGAACTGCAAAGAGCAACTTAACAAAAAGAAGTGCTCGGGTCCAGGAGATTTTGGCTATTACAACAAGTCCAACGGAGAATGCCTGAATTCATGTGAGAAACTAGGTTTGCAGTTTCCATTGTGCGAAAAGGGTATGTTATTTTTGGTAGAATTTGGTCATTTAAATCTCAATGCAATTTCTAGCTTGCGATGATGGATTTTACGGCCTAAACTGTCAAGGAAAAATATCAAACAAATGCTCCAACAATGCATATGATTTAATTACGGGTTATTGCAACACTACCTGCCGTAACTCAGAGTTTCAGTTTCCAGGCTGCGAAAGAGGTACGCATTTTGTCAGCCATATTAAAAATTAAGGTATTAATAAATGAAAAAGCATGTGAGGAAGGAGAATTCGGACCATATTGCGAGCATCAACATAGGGAGAAAAAATGCTCAGGTGGTGGCGATTTTGGCGAATACAACAAGGCTAATGGAGAATGTGTGCAATCATGTGAGGATGCCGGTGTGCAGTTTCCACTCTGCGAAAAGGGTATGTGACTTTTTGTTGATTGACAAGCCATGCTAATTTTTTTTTTTAACATTTTAGAATGTCAAGCTGGAAAATTTGGACTAAATTGTAACGAGTCATTGCCATCCGGGGTTTGCGAGGGAAAAACTGAATTTGGAGATTACGATAAAGCGACCGGAGATTGCAAATCGGGGTGCAAGGTGAATGGCATGCAACCGCCAAAGTGCATCATTGGTATGAAATTATCGTGATGAAAAGAGTTAAATATTAATTTCCATTTTCAGAAATTAAGAATAAATAAATGCAGAGGGCAAAATCGGATATCGGATTCATTGGGTTTGCGCTGATCACCTAACGTAACAACTTAGAGCAACTTCCAAAGTTCGTTGAATTTACATTATAACGTAGTTAAAAAAAACATATTTGAAAATAATTTAATTAATTTTAAGCATAGCTAAAATGAATTTTAATTTAAAATAACTGAAATCAAGCCAACAATGGGATTTTTTTTTAATTCATTGATTGCTTTTGAGTCGCCCTCATTACTTTAAACGAAGCAGATAATTTTTCTAGATGATATAAATAAACATAATTGATTATAAATTATAAAATTTCAAAATATTTGACACATCAAAATAAGTTTCTCTTGGCCACAAAAAAAGTATATATTATTCCTGCTAAAAATTTAAAATCCCCGTTCACAAATAATTAATATGTGTAGCCGTTTTTACACGTTCTTTTTGAATAATTTTGAATTGTAATTGTCATAAGAGTTAATTTTCAAATGAAAATTTAAGCTGCTCATATAATCAAATTTCAATCTTAAATTTGTGTTGAATTAAAATAAATTTTTTAAGGTGTGTGTGTAAAAAAATGGTGGTTTCAATGTGTTTTATTAATCATTTCCTTGGAATATATTCATAAACTTTTAAAAAGCTCATAAATCACCAAAAAAACATAAATAATATATGATTGTTGAGTGTAATTATATGCATTTTTTATTGATGATAATGATGATATTATTATTGTATCATACCATCCAATCTTATTTGTTATTTTAAAATTTAAAAAAAAAAAAACAGAAAATTGATTGTTTTTGAAGTTTTGATTGTTAAATATTAAATAACATTGTTTTGCATAACACTTTCATAATCAGTCATAGACAGGTTAGGTTATAACAATTTTAATCCGTGTTTGAAAGCAATTTTCAAATTAAAATTAAGTTTCATGATCAAATTTCTCTACGGATGCCACCACTTGACTTTTCATTTGTGTTGGCGCCTCTTTATAGTTAATGTGTTTGTGAGTTTGTTGCGGGCCGGCGTCTGGTTGTTCAGGATTAAGTGGAGCCACTTTTGCAGGGGCGCGATGCATGGCTTGTTAATTAAAACAAGAGCGCGGAAAGAGAAGCGTGAGTCTGTCTTTTTGCGCCACCCACCCCTCTCATATATTGCGTTCGAGACAATATATAAGGGTGGGCCTTGTGCTTTTTAATAAATTAGGGCCGCAAGGCTGTCCCATAAAACATGACAAAAACAAGTGCACGCAGAATGAGTCTGGGCGCTTGAAAAAGTGCAGGCAATTTTCACATCGTAAATCGCCGCGGCTGGCGGCACAGCAGCATCTTGAGGCGCCGTTCGGTGGATGGGGTGACTGCCACAGAGAGAGCGAAAAGCAGGGCGCTTGCTTTTGCACGACTACTTGATGAATGGATTCGAGATGTAGGCGAGGATAAAAGCGAGAAGATAAAGTGGCCTGCAGTGGAAAAGGGCGTCGAGTAAAACACCAAGCAGACAGACGCTGTGTACAGGTAATTACTCGCGCCAGGGCTGTAATTTATCGGCGGGCCTCGGTGATTACGCTTAAGTGGAGCGCACTGGGGGCGAAACATGCGGGGTTGCAACGCTCTTGAAATCTAAAATCTAGTTCTGCTGAATTTCCGTTTGCGTCGTTGCTTCAGAGGGTGGAATTTTACAAAAGGACACCAAGAAGAATTGAAAAAAGTAAATTGATTTAAATTAAAATATGAATAAATTATCCAATAATTAATGAAATTCAATGAAAATACAGGTCACATAATATGAAAAAATTATTGAGTTATTATAAAAAATAAAATTCAATAATAATAAATAAATTCAATAAAAATATTAGCTTTTTACGTTGCTTCAAATTTAAAAACTGAATTAAAATGTAATTGAATCTAAATCTTTGTTTAATAATTGTTTGAAAAAAAAAATTGTATTTACTTCGATTTTTTATCAAAATATTCTTGTTATAAAAGTAATAAAAGTTATTTAATTTTTAATACTTCTTAAAATTAGCATATTATATGTAATAAAATTATAAGCAATATTTTTTTTTTAACAAAAATTTTAAGGCAGAACATAATACTTTTCTTATATTTTTAAAAATATTTCCACACAATTTTACTTCATTGTTAAACTCAACAGAAATATTCACTTTGTGCCCGAGTGGGACATTAATAAATCTGATTAGAAACTATATTATTCCAAAAGTGAAAAAGATCTGATGTTCATATTGCTTAATACAATTGAATTGCTAATGTTAAATAAATCACGATTTGCAACAGTCTCAATGAAAAATTAGCAAATGCCTGGAATTGATGCAATAAATGAAAAAAAGAAGAAAATATAAAAAGTTAGTAAAAGCTAAGGGTGTCTAGGAATAAATTGAACAATTAAGTTTTCAATTATCAAGGCATTTAAAATTAAAGAAATTTCCTGATATTTGCAAGTGCAAGGTTTTCTCTGAAGCCAAAAACTTGGCACCGCAGCACATTTTCTCATCTTGCGGCAGCAAAAAAACGCCCTTTCCGCTCTGTGACTTTTAAAAATCTTGAAAGCCGCGATCAAAGCGAGCGAAACACAAAAAGCTTTTAGCTATCAGGCGTTGCTTAACAAAGTCAAAAGCGGCGGCTAATTAGGATGTGCTTCTAAAACGCGAGCGACAGGCAAGTGCTACTGCTCTGGGATGGATTTATAATCACTTGCATTAATTCCACACACATTTGTATCGGCCGCGCGCGTAATAATGTGTCAACGCTATCAACAGGAAGCATCTCTCCAACTTCACTTTACTCTCCCAGAAGGCTCGAATTAGTTCTTTAATTACATCATTATGTTATACAATTTTTTATAAATACGCGGATATTCACCGCGCAGAGAGAAAGAATAAAAGAGAAAGATTATCGCGCGCGCGAGAGTGTTTCTCCGACAGATAAGAATTAATAATTTAATTTAATGCAGCCCTCTTCCTTTTCGAGGCTTTTAGTCGGCGGCGGCGGGTTTTCAGTCGAGAATAATAATTGTTATTGCACTCTGCGTGCTCGGTGTCCTTGTTGCGCCCGAAAGCGGCGAGTGTCATATTTTTGAGTAATTTATGCCCGCGTGATAAGCCCGCGCGCGGCGCAGTGAAGTCTAATTTATTACCCGCCTCTCTTGTGTTTCCGTCATGCAATCAATTCATCTGCAAGCGGCCAAGGGCCCCGCGTTATTGCTGCTGCTGAACGGCCAAGCAGGCGAGAGGCTCCCATGCTTTCTACAAAAATAAAATATTAAAGAAAAATGTCTGCTCAAGTTGCTCAGTAAAAAAAAAAAACATTTGAAGTCGTAAAATAAAATATGCGAAAACAGGTATATTTTTATTTTTATTTTAGTTCTAAAATTTTTAAGGCACTGATTTTCCAAAGAAGTTATTTTAATTCAGAATTAATTTTGTTGGGAAAAATCCCCTTGCTTGAAACGTTTTATTTTGTTAAAATTAAAATTCAGACAATAGATGCAAACAAGTCATAAGACTAAATCTGTAACATATCAAACTATTTAATAAAATAATTCTAGATAGTAGTTTTTAGTCTCAATTTATTTGCATCAGAACAACAAAATTTTAATATTATTAATCAAATTTAATTCTTGTAAACATCCTTAAACCAGAGATACACCTTCATTAATTCATTTGATTAAGAAAAAAAAATACCAGGCGACCAGGTCTTAATAACTTGGCTCTTAAGATGCAAAAATTGAAAAAATACTAAGTAATATAAATAATGTAAAAAAAAATGAATCAATTATTTAATTAAAATTCAGTATTTCCGGTATTTTCTATGCCATTATATTTCAATTTTATGCAGCTCTTAAAAAAAAGACTTTTTATATGACTCGTGTGCATTTATTGTCAGAATTTTTATTATTTTAAAATAAAACTCGAGCAAAGTTCCCTTTAGAAAGAATTAATCATTATTCTGAACTAGTCGTTTTTTTTAAACAGTTCTGTTAAAAATTAAGAACTAAAATCAAATTAAAATTTGCTATTTCATGTTTATTTTATTTCATTAATTTGAAAAATATAGGGTTTCATTTAGCCTGCAGTATTTTCCGGTATTTTCAGTATTGCCCAATTTTCAGGCAAATTGCGGCGACCCTAGCAGCAAAGCTGTGCATGGCGCTGCTTGCTAAGTGCGATCATTATCTTTTTCGGACGGTTTTAAAAGCACTGGTTTGATTTATTACTCAGCCTCAGAACAGGAAGTCACCACTGACGGTGACAATTTCACTGCTTGTCCGCGCAAAAAACAACAACAATTTGCGTCACACAACACACGTGTGCTCAATTAATTTCGCGCCGAGTCCCTTTTTTTCAAATGCACTTTTTCGATTTTTTTTTCTATCTCTCACTTTAAAAAGTTGACAGGGCGCTGAAACTGATTAATCACCAGCTGCGTCGACTCATTTAATGTTTCACTTTTGATACCTCGGCCGATAATGTAAACCGAGAGAGCAGAGACGCGACACATCAAAGCGGCTGGAAAAAAAATTAAGACACACACATGAAATTCATCATTCACGCTCGACGTTAGGCCCTGCAATCATAAAACGCGCGGCCCTCGATCAATATTTTTTCATTTCTTTTTTCCATCACGTGCGTTTGATAAATTTCCTCCTTCAGAGTTACGCGCGCTTAACTTTTTCTTAATTTGAATTAAAAAAAAATATAAACGCACTTGGGTGTTGAAAAGCAGTTGATTGATAACCCCCTGACGCTGTTGAAATTAAAAATAATGCTCTTCCCGCGCGCCAATACGTTTCGCGAGATATCATCTGGCCTGTATGTATAATTTTGTTTGTGTGTTCTAATTAATTACATGCGCGTTGCTCGCCAACCTCGAGCAGCAGCATAATTAATGCTTTTTTCCGCCGTAATTAATTACATCCTGCTCGCTTTTTTGTTTTGAAAACACAATTGCACATGCAAAGGCGGAGCGTTCGCAACAGTTAATTATCCTATGTGTTGCTTAATTGTGTTGCCATTTTGGTCCATTAATCTCAGCTTGATTGTTTTCCGTAGCATTATTGCAGCTCATTGTCAGTTCAAAATAGTTACCACGAGGCGTAATTATTTTGAGATTTTTTAGAATTTGATCTTTAAAAAAGTTTTATTGAAAAGTATAATTGTAATTGAAGCTTAATTTTGATGAAGTCATAATAGAGATAAATCGTTCATGAATATATTCAAAGATAAAAGATAAAAAAGGAAAACGCGCACATTTTAAAGGTGGTTAATCAGATGATTTGAAAAAAAAAATACCAAAACGTTACCTACATGTTCAATGTACATTTCAGTCAGGTCAAGTTATCCTTTAATTTTATTGAACTAAAATTTGCTAACTGAATTAGTGGGAATTGAAGTTTGAATCGGAATTTTATATAATTTTGATCTGCCAAATTTTTGATAAATCACAAAAATAGCAAATATATAATAACATATACTATATTTTCAAGAATCCAGTTTTAAAATTTCATCAACTCTG